GAGTCGCTGGCGATCGACTATGCATACGGCTGTTAGATTATTCTGTAAAAATATTTAAAATGACCGTACTAAGTTTTGCATTAGAAATGCTGTTTTATTACTCTCTCATACATAAAAATAGACTATTATACATTCACAATATGCACAAACAAGATAAGTGGCATTGATACTGAAACATAATCATAACATTTCTAACATTGTATCTACTAAAACCAGATAAGAGACAACTTATTTTTGCTAAATGTATTTAGTCCGATTCCTAATAGTGTTTCTGCCAAAGACCTGAATACTTATTTTTGTTGAATTTGCGCGTATTTATTGAAATGGTTCAACATTTTGCCGAAACAATTTGTATGGGTTTGCCTAGAGCCGCCTCTGGCTTTTCTCGACAATTTGATTACGTCACCTTTTCTTTCTGCGAGTCAGCTAACCTTCGAAAACCGATAGATAATAACACGTGATGCTTGAATAGCCGTGGTGAACGAATGATTGGACAAGCTGTAATGAGTGATTGGTCAAGCTGTGTAGCGGTAGCCCTCGTGCCCTACATACTATCTTTTAAATCACCTTGACGTCAGATAATCCTTTTTTTGACGAGCTTGGTATGACTTTGTCATCAGATACTCCATGTTTTGACGAGCTTTCATTTCGTCAATAACATTTTATTTTATTGTGAAGATGGATGAATTTTTCAGAGCGACACATTTCTCACAGTATGTTTCTTGCCAATGTCATGGAACCTAAAAGTTCGATGTTATTGGAAAGGCGGCTTTCGTTTTTGATTTTCTTAGGAGAAAACTAGGGAAACAAGAGTGGACCAGAAGAAGAAAAACAAAAAGCTGTCCAACAAAAATACTAAGAAAAACATGATGTTAAAAAAAATCGAAGCATTATTTTTTGATTTTTATTTAACAACCTTGTTGAATTTATTTTTAAATAAACCTGGGGAAAAATAAAACAAATTGTCTTTTATAGGGAACTAGCTACGGCCTCTGTAAGCTGTACCGTGCGAGGAGGGATAGGGTGCAAAGGGATGAAAGGGTAAAAAAAAGCTCTGAAAAGTGCAAGAAGAAATATTAATAGTCCAATTAAATAACGAAAAAAAAGCCCCTTCGAGCTTACATTAATTTGTAATTGGATGAAACAAAAAGGACCTTGTGTATTTTGATGTGATCTTTCCGAAAAAAAAAGAAAAAAAAGATGTAGAAGTTTTTCAATTTTTTTTAAATTAGGAAAAACCGGGTTTTCCGGAATTTTCCATTGTAAAAATGCTAATTATCTGGGCAAGTATCATTCCGATAGTGAAAATAAATGCACCATTCGAAAGAGGAGGCAAAAATAGTTCGGAAATTCATTGCACAGGTAGTTTTAATGGCGAATTTCTCGCGGCCAGAAGTGCTTTTACCAAAAAGTCGTTTTTTCGTTTTTTTGATCAGAACCATGGAATTTGCGATGAATTTGTGGCGAAATTATAAATGTTAGACATATGTGCCCATGAGAGAAGTTGCGTATTTTTTTGTTGGCTCTCAAATAAAATAAGTCCCGCGGCGAAATCTGACATAATTTTTCGGGAATTCGCAGGAAACCAGAGGCGTAGTTTTTTTTTAAATTTTTTTCCCATGTGATTTTTTCTGGGTTTTCCGAAAACATCTAACAAAATAAATATATTTGAAAAAACTAACTTCGCCATCGAAAAGAGCACAAAAAAATACACAAAAAGGTATACTTTAAAAATGTTAGGAAATTAATCCTAAGCCTGAGTGTAAGTTCCAACTTGGTGATAAGCTTGCTTTTTGTTCGCTAATATCTGGTAATTCTATATTTTGCACAAAACTCAAGAAACGTCTTGTAACAAGTCAGTAAAATATAATTTAATAAATTTTAAGCCTAATAAATTTAGATATCGTTACCCTACTTCGCAAAAGACGTAAGTCCGTTTTCAATAAATTTACAGGGGAGAGAAAAAACCATTTTTTACTCAATATCATTAGCTATGACTGTTTTTTTTGCTTAGTGATTGTTTTTTACCATTGTCGGTTTTGGTTCCTGACTAAAATTTATGGTTTTTAGTGGACTTATTCCATTTTATTTTTACGGACGTACGACTTTTTCCATATGTTCTTAAAAAAAATTCAAAATAATGCTTTTTTTCTTTGTTTGACGAAACAAAAAATACAGCAATACATTCTAAAAGAAGATGCAAAGAGAAAACTAGAAACATTTAACAAATTCTAAACATAAAATAATAATAAAACTTAACTCGTTGCATCAAATAATACAGTAAAATTAAACGTATGATAAACTATCATAAAAACTATGGAAATCTTGCGGAATACTGGTCTTCAAGGACTGCAAATGTTCCCACTTTTGTTTTTTAATTGGGATAGGCTTATTATGAAGTTGTGGCAATAAATTTAAATCATAGTGATTTGATACCGATGACGACCTTCTTTGAGGTAAATCACTATATTCTGCAGTGTGCCTTAATACTTCCATCTGGATCGTAACGTAAACATCTTAAATCAGTTACCACCGGATCTCCTACCTTAAATCCAGGTCTTATGGAATTGTACATTTTTATTTTTCCAAAATCTTTAAAGGAATCGTAATTTAAATATTCCATTTTATAGGTTTTTGGATTTATTCTTGCATTCAGACATACTTGAACATAATCAGCTGGAACGTTAATTGTTATGTTTTTAAGTTTCCGCTCAATTGCAGAATGCATTGAATCAGCAGCCATTTGGGTATGACCCTTTTCTAAGTACTTCTGCTCCATTACAACATTCTGGTCTATTGTTGCACATAAAAGTGAATTAGAGAGGGTTGTGTTTCTATTCTGAGAGGTACAACCGTCACTAAATAAAATTATCTTTTGACCTTCACTTAGACTTTCGAAAACATACTTTTTAAGAAAATGTATTATTATAGACGAATATTCATTTGACGTGACCCCTCCTGCTGCTTCATGCCAAATAAAGCAATATCTTTCGTGTGTTTTCACATCATAAATAGTAAAATTGTGCACCATCAATTTCATCTTGAAATATAACGATGAAACGTTAAATTTTGGCGACAACAATACCGCCTGGGTATCCATGCAGAATACCCGGTGATCAGATTTTTAGAGCTTCTCTCACTTCGTTTTTTTGTATTTCATGGAGTGCATACTCCTCCTTTGACAGATTTTTTTGTCTTGAAAGCAACACATTTTTCACACTCATCTTTTTTGGGTTTAAAAAGACCTAAATTCATGTCTAAAAATACTGTGTCAAATACTTTAGATGATAAGGGCTTTATTTTATGGCTTTCCGACCAAATCTTGTAAAATCTGTATAAAGATGCCTTGGAATCCCAGTTTGTCTCTAAATAAAGTTTAGTTGTTTTCGCCCTACAATAGTGGGATTCCAGTTTTGGTAAATCTCTAAAAAAAATTAACTAAACATTCTTTTCTGTTACTGTCAGTCTCAGCTGGCTCGTCTGGTACGTCTGGTAATTTAGTTTCAATATTTTTAACATCGGTATTCTTCCATGTTATTACAGACTTCTCCCTAATGCCCAAGGTATTAAGAAACATATTTTTGCATACTCGAAATTTGGTATCGTTTTCAGTTTTCAAATAGTACAGCCAGCTAAACTCTCTCCTGCTTTCGGTTTCATTTTTTCTGTTTCTAATTCTTTTTGAGTTTGTTTTCTCTACCAAAAGATCCACATAAATTCTTCTTTGTTCCCACCCTAAGTTTGACCAAAAGTAATTAAATATTTGAGTCCGATCTTCTTCACTTAGCTTGGCGCATTGAAGAGTTTTTCCAATTTGAGATTTTTTGCAGTTACAACGTTCTTTCATTGATCTTTTCTCTTTTTCTATTTCGTAATTCCACACTCCGTTAATTTTGCGTTTTCCATAATATTTATCACCACATTCTCTTCTTTTCTTGTTTTCGTTTTTCTTTCCATTTTTGTTCATCTACATTATGTCTTTTATTTCGTTTGATCATCCTATTTCCTGAATAAGTATCCTCTTCTTCAATATCATCGTTGCTAATTTCCGAAGAGGTTTCTCTGTCTATATGATAATAGTTAGGATCTTCTAGGGCATTTTTCTGGTTGATGTTTTCATCTTCTTCCATATCTAAAAGTTGTTTTTGTAATTCAAGTAATTCATTGGGTACTTCTAAGGTATTTTTCTGGTTGATGATTTCCTCCGTTTGTAAGAGTTGGTCTGGTAATTGATGTAATTCACTGCATACTTCTATGGTATTTTTTTGGTTGCTGTCTTCATCATCCTCCATTTGTAAGAGTTGGTCCTGTAATTCTTGTAGTTCACTGTGTACTTCTAGGGTATTTTTCTGGTTGTTTTCTTCATTTTCCTCAGTTTGCAAGAGTTGGTCTTGTAATTCATTGAATTCACTGCACATTTCGTTAGTGAAGCTGTTATCTCAGGAATATCAAGAATTAACACATCTGGCATATTAGGGGCTTGATTTTCTTTTGCAAGATTCTCGAACATTTTCTTAGTTCGATTATGGCAGTTCTCCATTTTACCTGAAAATGTTGCATCTTCAAAATAGGTCAGTTAATTATAGGAAAATTTCATCCTAAAATGCACGCAAAAAAATATCCAAACTTCGTACAAGAGACCTTCATTTTATGAATTTTCACTAATCAATTCTTATTATTATATACTGAAAAACAGTAATTAACTATGCACGTGTTGTTACAAACCGACTACAGCTACCATACTGGTTTAACTACTTGTTATTGGCTGAAAGTGACTTTGCTACTTTTGTTATGTCACATCTGGAGATTGCTGTTTCTGATACAAACTGACAACTTTGCTGAATGGTTTTAACGGCTTATTTCTGTTTTTGTTACAAAATAAAATCTGATATTTTAATAAACAAACATTCCAAAGCGGTACGGCACAAAAAGCTTCAATTGAAAAGTTGGTAGTATGCTGCTTTTGATATTAGACCCCTGACATGAATTTTATATTTTAGATTCTCTGGCGGACCTGCAAACGCAAGAAACATATATTGAAAACATTTTAGATCGATTTAAAGCATTGATTGTATCGTCGTCATCGAAGAAAACGTTATCATCCTCAAGTGCAGCAAAGGAAATTATGGAAATATGGACTGAAATGCCTTTCAAGGAGTTTATTTCTCCTAATAGAACATTAGACGATAAAGATTATAAACATTATGAAAAATTATTTGATTTCTATGATAATTTCTAACTCAGATTTTCAATAAAGCATTCTTATTTCGTTTATTTTTATTGATTATTACAAATTTAACTATATAACTGTGCACGCATGGCTTAATAAAAAGGACAAGAAACGGTGACATAAAATTTAATACAGTTAGATATTGACAAAGTATTTACTACACATGGTTTTGTTAAAAAAAAAAAAAATATTAAAACCAATTTTCAGCTATTTGGTGATTTGACAGAGCCAATGATATAGATAGATATAGATTGATCATTATGCGTTGGAAGTAAAATTGTAGGTAATTATTTTTTTTTAATAAAATCAAAAGCTGAAAATTGGTTTTAAGACCCCCAACTCAACTTTTTTCGCGATATAATCCAAAGTAGAGATGGTAGAATGATTAGGTACCGTCTGCGCATCCTTGACCAGTATAGAAATTGTGCATGATTCAACCTTCCACTCTTACACAAGAAATTACAAGGAGAGGTTGCCCTAAAGCGTCGGTTCTTCATTGGCTTGCTTATATTTGTGATATTTTGTGCTTTGATTTCAATTTAGTATCAAATTATACCTGTACATTATTTTCCGATGCACTATTTTTTAATTGTTGCACAAAATGTTCTTAAACCGTCCCTGAATCTTGTTTACAAAATATGCAAAACGAAATTATGCATATAGACCAGAGCATACTGGCGCATTCGTTTGCAAAATTGTTTTAATTCGTAATTTTTTTTTTAAATGTCCGGAAGGCTTTCCTGATTATAAAAGTGTAAGATGACACTCTATATTTGTTGATGTTATTCTTTAAACAACGAAAAATTAATTAAGCCAGAAAAAATGCATTTTTTGCAATGAATTAATTTTTTTTTTGTATTCTTTAGGATATTTCGAATAAAAAAGTCCTTACGCCCATCATCGTATCTTCAACCATTTAATTGTACTTCTATCTAAAAGTACACGAGCGTAAGAAGCATATTGTTATAACGTAAAAAAAACAACAACAAACAACATTTTGAAAATTTATTTAGGTTATTCTGTTTATTATAGTTTGAATATTCGGTAAAAAATTTAAAATTATAACATTTTAAATTTTAAGGTATATTATTAAATTAGAATTTTCGTCAATTTTGGATTTTAAAAAATCCATAACAAAGGGTTGAAGATACGATGATGGGCGTAATAGTCTGGTTCACAAGTGCCATTTCCCTCGAAACCTGTCCTCCAGCACCGAAAATTATGATTTTGGGCTCATTCGATTCGGAATGGCATCTAAAACATTCTATCAAAATTCCAAGAGGGGCTGAAAAAAAAAATGCAAAAGTTATAAACAATAAAGTAAAATAAAAAATAAGATTTCGATTTTTTGAAATATTTCAAAAACTATTTGAGATAATCGAAATTTGAAAAAAGATCCTTAAAGAGCAGGAAATTTCCTAAAAAAAAGTCCTACCTCCCGGAACTGTACCAACAACACTTATAATTTTAATTAAGCGGCGAAAATAACGGTAAAAACGCGTGGTTCGGCTGCCGCGCGCATCGCCCCAATCTGACACATGAACTAAAAAAAATATTTTAACTAATTAAATATTAATATTAAGGCCAAGTTCAATGACAAGTGACGGCGACTTTTTTATCACAAGAAATACAGCTCTGAACGATAATATTTTCAAAAACTGTTTTCATAAATGGGTTCAAAAAACTGTAAAGAATAATGGAAAGTCCATGGTTTGTTTTACTTTTAATGCATAATATTTTAATAAGTGATATTTAACAAATATTTAAAAGTTATGGACTTTCCATCATTTTTTATAGTATTTAAAAGTTAAAACGCAAAATACATTCTTTTATTTTTGCCTAATTATTTCAGGATTCTTGTGATTTAAAAATGTAGGGCCCATAAGATGCTGCCATCTGAACAGACGGAATAGACACTAAATTTGAAAAATTGCAACATCGCTCCCTATGCAGACGAATGTAAAATGGCTTAGCCCAATTTGACCATGTTTCTGGGTGAGGGGCGAGGTGGTGTGCGGGGAAAGGTTGCAAGTAAATAAATTATTCTATAAATGCTATTTTCTGTTTGGAACATTGGAACACAACACAAGCATGTTTGTTTTGAAAGTTTGACGTTTATGGTTTGACGTGTCATTTCAATTTAATGGACTTTAATAATTTAAAAGATGCAATGTACTTATATTATTTATATATTATATTATTGTAGATCCAGGTATGTTTTCGGTTTTTATTTTATTTTTATTTTCTATATTTGGCTAGTTTGCTAATATCACAATATTCAAATTTAGTAAAAAATAATGTAATAATATAACAATTATTTTAATAACATTCTAAATATGAAATGTAATTTAACTGCAATTGCATATGGTCTGTGAATTTCATCTGTTTCCGAATAATTACCCTTAAATATTTGAATTTTTCTACTAACTGTATAGATTTTCTTTCAATTTCCTATATTGTTTGTCCACAAACTGCATATAGTTATTACTTATCAGCTTATATTTTGTTTTAGGTATTTGTGTTGATTTTTAACAAATGATTTCAACATCATTTATAAACATTTTGCAGAGTTTCATTGACAATTAACTCTTACTAAGTTTTCTGAATCCTTACAACTTACAAGAAACATAGATAAGAACATCATAGGCTAACAGGTAAATGTCATATTGATTATTGCCACATCAACAATCATTAATATAAATTAAATATAACAGGGGACCTAATTTTCTTCCTTTGATGTGGTTAATTTATTCTGATCAGGACAGCGATTCTTTTGTGCGAACTCGACACATTACATACAAAATAGAGAGAGACATTACATTAAAATCGCTGTCTGTCGAACAAAGATAGGAGTCTCGATAGGAGACGTACTGAAAGATGAGAATCCCACTACATATGTTATTTAATTTTAATCTCTCTGATCTGATACTTAATAATAATCTACATGCTACCCCAATGCATGCTTTATAGCATATATAGATATAAAAACCACCTTTATACCAATACTTTTTAATTTTTTTATCGAATGATTTTGATCAACAGAATCAAGTGCATTTTAAAGAAATACAATTAATTTTGAATTGTACATATGGCGGATTGTACAATAGGTAGTTAAAATGTAGACTTAGTTTAAACTGTGAACCTTGTTGTATATTCATCGGTTATTAATAAACATAGTTTTAAAAATGACATTTGTTTTTGAATATAACTAGTTAAAAATAAAACTCTTGTTAGTTAAAATATGTTTAGAATATTTTTTGTACAACCTGCCCATAATGTATTTTGTAATAATTAAAAATCATAATATTCTTGTAAGGAAGTTGGAAAGCTTAGGGTTTGATCAGTCGCTGTTGAGATTATTTTCATCTTACCTAAATCATCGTTTTAATTATGTCTTTTACAACGGATTTTCATCTTCACCCCTCACAGCAACATCTGGAGTTCCACACAGCTCCAATCTGGGGCCACTATTATTTCGTATATTTATAAATGACTTGGCAATAAATTTAACCTGCTGTTCGCTGCTAACTTAAAAATATTTACCTCAATCTCATCAATTCAAGACTGTTACTTTTTACAGACCCAACTTGGGAATCGTTGAAAATTGGTGCAATGAAAACAAGCTGTTTATGAATGTGTCTAAATGTAAAATATGTTCCTATACTAGAAGCCTACCTTTATCGGACTTGTGCACAAATTGAAGATTAAGGTATATTATTCAACCAAAAAGTTACTTTTTCGGATTATATTGAAAATACCGTTGCTTCTGCGTTGAAAAGCTTAGGGTTCTTAATTCGTAATACTCGTTATTTTACAAACTCTTAAAGCTTGGAGATCCTTACTTTTCTTTAGTTCGTTCCAGGCCAGAATATGCATCTCTTGTCTGGAACCTTATTTACAATATTCATAAAAGATCATTGGAAAATGTTCAGCGGCGATCTCTCAAGTACCTTTCTTTTAAAATAGATGAGCTGTATCCCATTCGAGGTATTGAAGAATCTCTGCTTCTTTCGAAAATAGAAGGGTAGTTTCCAGTGTTACATTTTCTTATAAAATATTACATAACACTATTGATGTACTATTTTAGATAAATTAAATAAATTTTAATGTTCCCCAAACAGCCATTAGATATCATAAAACATTTTATACAGCAAGTATTTGAATGAACTTGGGAAGAAATTCACCTATAACGCTAATGTGCTCAAATTTTAATTAATTTTGTTCTGATTGGGATATTTATTTCGACCATTAGTTGTACTAATTTGTAGCTAATGTATTTAGGATTCTCTTTTCTGTTTTTTTTTCTTGCTGTTGCTAAAATTATTTTCTGTCGAAATATTATGCTTAACATTTATTTCATGTATTTTCTTCTGTAAATGGATTAATTTGTTGGGCAATAAAATTATTTTTATTTTAATAAGCAAAAAAATGTTTATTTTGATGCACCTACCACCTTTAAAAGTTTGTCAGTATATTAACGAGAAATCCTATATAATTCCCAAAGAAAAATATTTTTGGAATAAATTCCGAATTCTATTTATTGATATTTGTTATTTTTTAGGTTCAATGACTCGAAACATGATGATCAGCTACACCAAGAATATCCTTGATACTTAAAAAAATGGTACGAGATTAAGCAGATTTGATGCTCTGTCACATTGTGGTGTGAAGACGTGGCTTGTATAAATTTGGGGTATCAGTTGATAGAAAACAGTACGCAAAAATAAATTTAAATCTGCAGATGCATCAGAGATAGCCATATTCCATACCACAATACGTCATGCGTGAACTCGATGAGATTTCATCGGCTAAGTATCATTCCTCTGTAATGTTTTGTATCATTAGGAACACCAACATTGTAACCTTTTCCCTGGGTCAGAGAGAATAAATGAAAACTAAATAATGTATAGTAATAAAGATTGAAAATATATGTACTTTTAAGAGTTTTATTATGTCAGCCATAGTTTTATACCAAAAATAAAAATAAACTGAAATTATACATTAAAAATACATTCATAAATTAACTATATTTATAACACTCAT